AATAGGTACACTGTGGTTTTGTAGAAATTGTAGAGTCCAATTGAAATCGTTAATTGTGGCGTCAGAAATAAACCAAGGAATGGCTTTTAAATTAAAACGAACTTTATCAGCCATTTCAGATTTGATTAAATAGTCGGCAAGTACGAAATCCGTAAAAAGCTCGTAACCGGCATTATCACAAATGAATTCCACAATAGCTGGTTTAATTGAATTTTCAGACTTTAGGCATTCAATAATAAAGCTCGAATCATCAATGATAATTTTATGGTCAAAGCTGCGCACTAAATCAAAGGGGTTGCCTTCAAGTTGAACCTCTTTACCGGACGTTATAGACAAGTCGCAGCGATTTCCCCACAAATTAAGCTTGAAATAAGTTATTGAATATAAATGTATGTATATATTAACAGCATTAAATAAAAGGTGAAATTACCTTTAGCATTAACTTAAAAGAATCGCTAGTAGTACAGTCAATTCCTTGAACAACATTCAATATTTCTTCGATGCATTCAATAGATTTAACAAGGGCATTCCTCTTTTGTTTTGCAAAATAGTCAAATTCGCTTAACGATAGAGAGTTTTCGAAAAAAGATGACAACCGGCGATATATATAGCATTCAGCGTAGAGCCAACACGTTTTGAAAAAGCTGTTTTTTTCATCGCCTAAATTTTCTATAAACTGATTCCAGTCTTCTTTGTCGTGCTCTTATTTTGAATATGAAATAATAAAACGTGGAATTAATATAAAAAAGGGTGTATCGCGGGGGGGAGGGCAGGGGGTTTGGAAAAATGCATATGTATGTATGTACATACCTTTTCCATCGAATTGTTCCAGCGCCTTGTCAGTTTGTAGTTGATATTTCAATTTAGATATTTGCCCAATAATATGTTTCATTTCCTCCCTTGACTCCTATGAATAAATATGAATAAAGTGATGTAATTTAATTTGTATAACATTTTTTAATTAAGAAATCATTCTAGATTAAATGTTAAAACGAAATTAATGGCTGCATGTTCCTTCAAATGTTTTCAAGACTAGTCCTCAATTAAAATATACAATATGTTTTGTTATTTATCTTTTGGTTTAATTGTTACTTGAAATTGTTCTTAATTGTCAAGTTTTACCTAATTATACCCGAGCGCACTTGTGCACAATTTTATTATAACTTTTTTCACCTAACGGTTGTTTGTAACAGGCAAAACGAATCGAGATAGATAGACAAATGTATACATAAATGATCAGAATGAAAAGAGAAACCTGTCCGTCTGTGCACACGATAACTTGGGTAAAAAGTGAGATATCTTAACGAAACTTGGTGCGTAGGACGTATGGTATTGAAAATGGGCAAAATCGGACAATAACCACGCCTACCTTCCATATAACCCTAGTTTTCAGAAATAAGAAAACTGCGATATTTTAGTAACTACTGGAGATTATTCACTCAGAATTGATATTAGCAATAATTTTTGGACTAAAAATAAGAATATATAAATATTTGGAAAATAGGCGTAGCCACACCCACTTATCTTGGTAACCGCTCCAGCAATTTCTTCCAAACTTGGCACAGTTGTTGGTTTTGGTACAACATACCAAATGGCTGAAAATTTTTAAAATCGAACAATAACCACGCCCCATTGGTAATTTAGAGAAATACGAAATCTTCGATAACCACTAAACTACTAACTACTAAAACCAATACTACTAAAGCTAATTTATTCAAAATTGATGCGTGCAATAATTTTGGAAAATGGGCGCGGCACCGCCCACTTATGACCACATATACATATGTATGTATCTCGGTAACCGTTCTACCAATCTGTATGGTTATTGTTCTTGCCACATAAAAGCAAAACGCTAAAAGGTATTGAAATCGGAAAAATTACGGCCACTTTTCATATATCGTAAATTTCACAAATGCTTGAAACTTATATATCGCTAGCTTAGAAAGAAAAGTTGCTAAGTCCCATTTTAAAAAT